TATATAAGCCCCCCCCCCCCCCTTGAATAAGCCCATCAAAAATCGCTTACGAAAGTATATAAGCCGGAGGTTTACGGTACTTTAACTGTATAGTGGAATCGTTCTCCAGCGAGGGGAGGGATCTGGAACCCAGCTGACGTACACGTGAAGAAAGAAAGCTCACCAACCGCTTCACCAAATGACGTCACTCCCCAGGTATCTAAGACTTCATCAACTGAACAACCTGGAGAGGAAGAACAAGTATCCCGACCTTCATCTGCGAATAACGCTGGTGAGGAGAGACCAGTTGAAGGGGATAACAGAGATGATCAGGAGGACGAGGGGATAAGTGAGGATGAAGAGGAACATGTTGATGTTGAAAATGTCAAAGAGGATGAAATGGAGGAGTCTGAGGAGAGTGAAAGTGAACCAGATGATGATGCAAGGTGAGTCTCACAGTGCATGGCAAAGACCATGCTTAGGGTTAGTGGTGTAATGCCATTCTGACACAAACTGTCAAAGTTGATATGATATCATTACATTAAGGCAACCATGATTCCAATGGTCCACTGGGTGCACCAGACATTATTTAAAAAGAGCCATAACATTGGTTCTTCAATTTTAATAATCACAGTGTCAAAATTCATCTCTTGGATTGCATTATCGATGCCCACTAATAATTAGTAGCTATGTAAAAATCTGCATCATAGCTATTATTGCATTGTTCCCTGTATATGAATATTCTCTCATGTCGTTTATTTTTCTTTATCCCAGTGAGGATGAGAAAAAGAACAAAAGGACCAGAAAAACGGACAAACCAAGGAAAAGACTAAAAGCGATGTAAATATATACATTCTAAATATATAAATATATGAATTTGCATAATTGTCCGAAACTTTTTAATGCAAAGTAGGCATAGCTGAAAATATTGGAAATTATAGTATAAAGTAGGTATATATCATTATTTTGTAAAAAAAAACCCTGTGCTCCTTTAATGTCTGAGCTAATACTATGGTCCCGAGTGATAGAATTTGACTGATTTATTGTAATTGTAGGCATCGACCATAGTATTCTCCAGTGGACAGGATTCCTATTCCGCTAAAGTTGTAAACAGGATTAATTAGAAAATTCTAAGAAAGTATTTTATTGAACTCCTGCATGACGAAGCTGTATAACTTCAGTGTATTCAAAATGGCACTTGATTTGACTATGAGTTTGGAGGGAACCCTGATCAACGTTTTCACTCCAAAGTTGCGGGATATGATGTCATGAGATGAATTTTAGCAGCCAAAAACAAACGATAACTAATTTGCAATTCATGTACTGACATTATATCCGGCAACTTTGATGATGAAAAACTTGATCACAACGAGGTTTTTACTATCATACAGCATTATCGTGGTCAACCGGCATTTCTCAGAGGAAGAAAATAATGTTGATTGTTTGTATCTAGTAGACTTGTATTTGCTTTTTAATTTACTTTCTCGTATACTGAGGTTAATTAACTACCATCTGCTACTCCGATACTCCTCAAGGAAACCCGCGGTAATACAATTATATAAGTCCCTTCTCTATAAAAAACCACAGTTAATAGACTAGTCTGTTAACTGTGGAAAAACATAGTATAAAACATGTAATACTCTAAAATTATGCATGGTGGTAGGCCAAAATGAGTTCAAACTCTAACCAAGTAACTTTGTGTTTACGAAATGCAATATAAACGCGGCGGAGCACAGGTAAAGTGTACTAAATTATAAATATAGTGTGTCCAATCCCTTGTGGGATTCGGGCATTTTCCCGAGTGTGAACGTAACAGCTTTAACAAGCAAAACAAAAAAATAAATGTAGTGTGGTTATTATAATATGGCTGAACTTTTAACTGTTTTTATAAAGTCATATATTAGCTACTAGATATATTATGTAAACAAATGTAAAATATTTTACAAGTCGACATATAACGTCTTCATTATCATGTGTGACAGTACGGGCTCGCCAGCCTCGTTCTCATGTTATGTTTTGAATCTTGAACAATTTCTTTGAGAACGAGGTTATGCTGACGTCAAAGGCACAAGTCATTGTAAATACTTTACCAGCTATATCCTTTATAAGTGGAATAGAGAATTATCCTGAATCACTGTTATAAAATTGTGTGTTTGTTTTTTCCTGGAAAGTGCGATATGGTAACTTCGGAGATTTGACCATGTTTGGAATTTTTGCAAAAAATATAACTTAGCCCAGATTACTCAGGCACAAGAGTAGTGTATTATATTTTTTTAATACGCAATATTACGCAATACACCCTTCCGAAAAGTACCGTTAGTTTGGCTATAGAGCCTTGTAAAGCCTTGTTACACGAAAACGAGAGACTATATTGAAGAAAAACTCCAATAAGCCACCTTAACCAATTCATGTATCAGTGAACGTGATTGGTTCAGAACAGTAGTTCACAGTCTCTTCGGCGTGACATGAAAACCCAACATGGCGGACTTGTCTAGGAGTGAAAATTAATATTTTCTTTCCTGCATATAAAGTATGATCACAGATTTTTGTAACGCTCTTTGGGACACCCGAATAGAAAGCGACACGATTAGCAGCGATGGTTACGAGGTGTGTAACCTTATTTCCCGTGATGGAGCTAAGAAACAGCGCGGGTTTTTGGCAGAACGATTTGTGAAACCCGTTATTTCAATTTTGATCAGTTTCCCGTTTCCAATTGACGTGTGTGCCATAAACGTGAACCCTCAAGTTGGCGGACAGAAGATCTGTGGGCTAGAAATCCTATCGGCAAGTTTAAAATATTGTAATGTACAAAACAAGAAACAAAATATAAACGGTGACACTATAAAATCTACATTGAATTCTGAAGCTGTGACAGCCAAATCAAATGACCATGTTTTTCATTCATATCAACATGTTTTAAATGTGAACAATATCAAACAAGAATTCAATAGTTTTTTCAACCAAATCTTGAGAACTCAGTTAGCTGAAGGAAAAGTTGGTCATTTTTTAAATCCATGCTTTCGGGATGCTGTAAATGCCGACTTTAACAGCAGAATTACTGGAAGTTCACCAAGTAATAGTCAAATCTGCAATCTGCAACAAGGAAATCAGCTGCACAACACTTCACATTTGTGGATACGAATAACACAAGTGCACAAAGGATCCGTTCCATGTCTTGGTGCTTTGGAGGTTGTAGGCAAACCAGCAAAGAACAACAATGAGTTTGTGATGAATTATGCTCGATTCATAACTTTGAGATTAAAGCAAGAAAGGGAGAACTGTAAAGGGCTTGTCAATGCCTCTACTGAAACAAATTTATCTGCAAATAATGCATGTAAATCTGAGCGAGCCACCGATCCATGTCATGAGCCATCATTGGTTGATAACGTACCATCTGAATTTGTTGATCCCATCACATTTAATATCATGCCTCTGCCCATTCTCTTACCCTCTGGTAATACTATTGATAATTCTACGCTAGAAAAACACATTGCAATGGAGAGAAATTTTGGTCGGCAACCATGTGATCCATTTACAGGCATACCTCTAGGTTCAAATGTTGTTCCAAATGCAGCTCTGAAATATAGAATTGACAACTTTCTGTTGTCAGCTGACATTAAGGTTGACGAACTTGGTCGTACTGTGGGTTCTTCATCAGATTGCAAAAGTACGGCAAGATTGAAGTTTGATGCTATCTTGAAACAAGATAAGAATAAGATCCAACCAGTTGGTAAAAGAAAAGCATGTCCAATAAACCTCAAGCAGCCACCTTTGAAGAAGCAAAATGCAGGTTTGTTCACATTGTATTCTGTATGAGGTGGCCATGAGCATTCATCTAATTATTGTCTTTATATTTCCAGAGAATGATGGTCATATTTCTGGCAAACCAAACAGTTTGGATGAAGCTCTAGAGAATGTGCTCAGTGTTGGACAAAAACCTACCAACACTCCAAGTGTAAAAGCATCATCATTAGTCCCATCATCCTCTCTACATCACAATGGTATTGTATACAATAGATCATCATACACAAGTAATTTGATAGGTATACAAGGGGGGGGGGGGGTGGTGGTTGGGCAGTTTGTACTTAAAAGTTGGACATGCAGATTGTACTGAAAAATTGGGCAATTGCACCCCACCCCCTATCAATGTTTTCACAAATGTTTCACTGCAATGAACTACTTTTATGTTTCAGAATCAGGACCTCGGAACATACAATTTACAAATTCTGGCAACCCAGACAACGAGGGATGTGTTCATCAAGAACAAACGGACACACTTTTTCGCCTACCTTGTCAACATGTTATCTGCCGTCAGTGCCTGACATGCGCAGTTCAAATGAAACAATGTCTTCAATGTCAAGTAAACTTTGAGAAGAAAGATGTTGTTCGAGTTCATTGCAGAAGAACGCTTCAAATTGAGACAGTCTGAGCCCCGGTTGGGATAAATGAATCGATATACTTCAATATATTGTGGGCTCAGGGCCTGAAACCGTCGAACATCAGACATATTCTTGCAGTACTTAAAATAGCAAATCTGGTCCAATATGATCACCTTACAATTATTAAATTTAAATGCATTCTATAACTAAACTATATTGTAAAATGAAATCGAAAAAAAACACACCTCCAACCAAGTAGGAAAAATTCTTTGGGGGGGAGGGCAGGTTGCCAGCACACTCTCAATACCTGTATAATACAAAGATATAATAGTACTTGTTTGTGCATTCCAGAGTTAATATTAGCCATTTTAAGTAACAATCGAGGTAAACTCTGGGGTATGAATTGGCCGACTTACCATTTCTGCCAAAATTGAGAGGGTCAGTGAACAATAACCTAGACAGCTAGACTAATGTGCTGAAGATCCTGTTTTGAAGTTTATGCCGTCCCGATTTGATTGGGAGTCTCCTGTTGCAATCTGAATGAGGGTTGGGAGGGATAAAGATTGGGGTTTTAGGATTGGGTTGATGAGATAGAATTTTGATTGGATTATGATTAACTCTGATTAGAATAATGGTAAAGATCAGGGTTAAGATTTGGAAAATTTTATCAGATCGGGGATAAACAAGAAGCTTGAAAGAGCGTTAATAGCCCACGCTGGGGCTATAGTGATACGCATGTTAGATGGTACTACAATGGTGACCTTTGGAACACTAGTCCAATGGGTTCAATTTTAATTCCACTATGGTCAGACAAATGCATACTCAGAGTAACATCACAAACATCATATTCACCTGAGTACATAACACCAACACACACAAAAAGTATCATATCTTAGAATACATTGATATCGAAGGAACTAGACTCAGTTTCGAAATATCACCAGCTCGAGGTTGGGATATTTGTAGAAATTTAGAAATTCCTAAAAGTTGACAAAAGTGGAAGCCACTGAGCTATATAATAACAATGTAATCCATTGAAAATAAGTAGTTTTCATTGCCAGCAAGCAAATTTTGGAAGTGTCTATTGGCTGATTGAAATTGTAGTATGAAATTTTTGATTGGATGATGCCCACACATGCGCTCCGGTTATCCGAGTGTCAAGTTATCGCGCATGCGTTCGTTTCAAAGGTTTGGTAAACACCGAGCTAAAGTGTCCCACATGCACCACACCGGGCGACTGTTACGTACTTATATACCGAACTGTTACTATTACTTGTGTGTGGTAGTTACCGATCACAGGGTCTTGCGAAAAGGGTCCCAGGCATAATGGTCTGGGGGGCCGGGGCCGCCGGCACTCTCCCCCGTAGTTCGTTCGATATCGGTTGGTAAGCCACCTATTCACCGCCTCTGACGATAGCGTTGAGTTTAGCCGAAATCTAGCTTAAACGTTAACATACGGCGTTCTAGCGGTTAGCACGAGACGGACTTGACCGATACGGGCTAGCAGAGTCGGGAAGTATGGACTGATGGGGCACTTTTTAAAAAATTTATTTGTAATTTACCCTTCGATATAAACAGATGTTCTATTAGAAGAACTACTTATATCGAAGGGTAAATTACAAATTTACCGATCAATTGAATTGAATTTCGACTAAGAAAGTTAGCAGTGTGTAAGTGTGTTTTGTGCTTTCTATCTAATTTATAAAAATCTAAAAATGTATCTTTACTACTTGTTCATGTCACACCAATTTTAAAAACACAATTAAAAACCTAAATTAAACTATTTTAAATTCCAAAGTTTAATTAAGTTTCATGCCAGGACACCAGCTATTACGCCATTTTGTAGGTACCCGTTTCTGGTCCGCCTTCATTTTAACCCGGCAATCAGATCACGATCCAAAAAAGCTCATAATCTGATTGGCTAAATGAAGTAATCCGATAATCCCACCAAGCTTGGAAGAGTTTGGGTATTGTCGAGCTGCCTCGTCCCTAGGCGCTGTAAAATAATGCCCACAGGTGTTACAGCGAAAGTAACTGAGGCACGGCAAAATAAAATTAACTGCAACGGCAAAACAAAGTAAACTCATGGAAAAATATAATCACGGCAAAACGAAATTAACTCCGGCCTCAGGGCAAAATAAAAAGTCACGGCAAAATAAAGTTAACAAGTCAAGATGCTTGAAAGAGCGTTAGCTCTCTGAGGCTATCCTATAGTGATACGCATGTTTAGTATTACAATCGCGACCTTCGGGATAATAGCCCAATGGGTTCGATTTCAATTCCACCGTAGTCAGACTTTGGTCAATCTACCCTGGTTCCAGAGGTTCTTGTGCCACCGTATTATAAATTGAGAAATAAATGCCTTATGAATAATTTGGGTAAAAATTGGCAGCTCTTTAATATTCTATTTTGTGACTATCGATCCACTATCGGAGAAAAATGCGTGCCTAAACCTATACTCACCTGGGCGCAGAGCCCCAGCTATTAATTATTCGATTGGAACCTTATTAGCATAAGCGACGTGTCCTTTACATTTGAAACGATGTGCGCATGTGTTTTGATGGTTTATTGCTGAACTGTTTGGTGCGAGTGTTCATATTTACAATATGGCGGCCGCCAGCGAGGTTTCTCAGTTATTTAGCGATCTTGAACAGTGTGAAAAAAGTGGAAATTATATAAAAGGATTGAAAATTGCCAACAAAAGTAAGAGATTATTCTAAATAGATTTCTTTTTGCTTTGTTTCTTTGTATTTTGTGCTGTGTATGTTATTTAAAAGTTGTGATAAACCAGGATAAATATTTCTCAACGTGATTTGTAGTTCTTGAAAAAGTTCCCAATGACAAGGATGCGTTTCAATGCAAGATAGTGTGCTTTATGCAGCAAGGAAAATTCCATGATGCTCTACAGATTTTAAAGTCTTCTCGTGTTAAAAAGGGGTAAGTTTTAATAAAGGAAGTAGTTATTAAATGCGAGCACTTACTGTCGTTCCAATTGAAGTGTTGCTCAAATATTGATTCAATACATTACCTTGGGCTGACCAATTCATTTCATCAAGTTCCTCGAGATATTCATACACTTCCTAGTATAATTGTAAACTTCCTGTGGAATAGTTTGAATGCACCAATCACCTTTGTTGTTTGTGCAACTAACCAATCATAAATAGAAAGGAAGTGACCAGAAATTATCAAATACTTGGAATTGGCTCTTTCACAGGAATGTATGAATATCTCGAGGAAATTGATCAAATGAATTGCTCAGCCCGAGGTAATGTATTGAATCAATATTTGAGCAACACTTCAATTGGAACGACATGTGACATCAAATAAATTTCTAAAATGACATCATACTAAAATGACATCAAATAAATTTCAAGTGTGTTTTTGGTAGCTGGGTGGTTTAGGCACTCATCTTGGACCCGCTAGCTCCGAGGACCGAATCCCTAAATGAATCCATGAAGATTTTCTGACCTGCGAACAGGTGGCTTAGGGTTGCACTAGAGAAGGGGTTGGGTGTGGGCCTGACTGGAAAGTTTGGAAATTGCGTGCTGGAGATGACTAATGCAAGGACTAAATAAGAATTTTTTTTAGGATCTCACTACCATTTGAAGAAGCTTATTGCCTCTATCGCCTGAATAAAACAACTGAAGCACTGGACGTATTGAAAGCTATTGAAGAACCGTCTCCCAAGGAGAAGGAACTGCTTGCTCAAGTGGTAGTATTTTAAAATATTTCGTAAAATTTTTGAGAGGTATCTGCATGTGTGTATTCCTAGTTATGATATGGAAGAAATAATAATAATATGTTCTCTTAATGTGTTCTTGCCTAATAGACCTTTCCGGTAATTACGTCACAGCTACATTGTTTTCAACTTAGGACCACCTTAAATCATGCTTAAATGGAATGGAGTTCAAGTTTTTTTTCTCACTAGCTATGCGCAAAGAAGCAGAACATCATTCTTTAACACATGCATGATAAAAAATTTATTATTTTGACCAATAAATGTGGGAATAAGCTTTAACACGAAAATGAGGCTGAGGAGCCGAAGGGGCAATGGCCCCTTAGCCTCGTTTTCGTGTAAATGCTTAGTCTCACATTTATTGGTCAAAATAAAAAAATCTTTTTCATGCATGTGTTGAAGAAAGATGCTCTGCTTCTTTGCGCGTAGCCAGCGAGAAAAAAAAACCTTGAAAACCATTCCATTTAAGGTGGTCCTAAGTTGAAAACAATGTAGCTGTGATGTAATTACCGGAAATGTCTATTATGAATGTGAATTGTTGGCAATTAATTTTTTTGTATTTGATAGTATTACAGACTTGAAGAATATAAGAAATGTTATGAATTATACACTAACCTCATAAAAAATTCACAGGTGAAATTCTTTGCTTACAATTTAACACTTTATAGAGTTAAATGTTATATGACATTTTACTGAGACTGCCTCCGTGAACTGCTAAATGACATGCAATTAAATTAAACATTTAAAACAATTTTATACAGGATGATTATGGTGATGAACGAGAGACAAATCTTGCTGCTGTAATTGCAGCATCCCGGTCATCGGGACAATCTGATATAGTAAGTGATCTGTAACAGGACTTTCAGGATTGTTCTGAGTGGGTGGATGAAAGTAGGCAGCTGTGGGGAGGGGGGTGGAGAGGTTTAAACAATAAGCTATTTATACATTATGACATATTTGAACTTGTCTGTTTAGAGTTGTGAAGGTTTAAGAGAAGACACATATGAACTATGTTACAATGCTGCATGTTTAACAATTGCTGATGGAGAGATGGAAACTGCTGCTGAAAAATTACTTTGGGCTGAAGGTACTTATTCTGTCTTATAACTTAGCCTGCAAAGCAGGTGGTTGCAGCTTATAACTGTATACTAGACATGTGCATCAGATTTGAAAATATTTGAATTATAACTAACAATACTAAATACTTGTTTTTCTAGATCTTTGTAGGAAGTCAATGGAGGAGGAAGGGGTTAGTTATTTAACATTAAAGGCTGATTTATACATCAGTCACTTTTGACGAGTTTAAGATCTATAAAGTTTCCCGAGTGATGCATAACTTTTTTCCCTGTAGGATGTTACTGAGGAGGAGATTGAATCAGAACTTGGTGTGCTCAGGTGAAAGCAGTTTTCCAAATAAAATCCTACATCTTGTGTACATGCATATTAATATTTTTCAAAAGCAACATTTAGCTGATATCAATTCAAATTTATTTATTAACTCTGCCAAGAGGTTTTGTTATCATCCGTGTGTGTATCTTGTCAGTATGATAACTTATAAATATCATCAATACACATTGATACGAAAATTGATAATTGCTCAAGCATTGTTTTTTTTTGTATTGTATTTTTTCAGAGTACAGCGTGGTTACACATGCCAAATATTGGGTAAAGACGATGAAGCTATGAAATTATACAATCATGTTCTAAAATCTAGGTACGAAATGTAATATTTTGTTAGCTTCAGTTGATGGCAAGCTCTGAGTAAGATTTACTAGTTGTTGATTAATTATTTTGTAATTCAGGCCCAATGATGTTGCTATCAGTGCTGTGGCTTCCAACAATGTTGTTAGCTTGAACAAGGTGTGAAACTTTCCTCAAAATCGACAATGTAGATGTAAATGCTATTTATTCTCTGACATTCAATTGCTCTTAGAAATAGTAATTATTCTTTGTTTTCGTAACAGGACAGAGATATATTTGATTCTAAGAAAAAGATCAAGGTGGCAACAGCTGATGGAATTGAAACGAAATTAAATGATCGCCAAAGACAATATATTGCTTTTAACAAATGTTTGGTTTTGATGTACAGTAATCAGGTATGAAACTTTTGGTTCCATTGAGAGTGTGAAGTTTGGTATAATGTGATGACATATGATTTGATGTGATAGGTAAGGACTTAGGTTGTGGTGTGGTACTCTGATATGGTGTTGTGTGGTAGTGTATGAAATTGTGTTGCATGGTATGGTATGGTATGGTATGGAGTGGTATTGTATAGTATATGGTATGGTATAGTATGATATGGTATGGTATATATGGTTCGGTATGCTATGGTGTTGTATGACATTGTACAGTGTGTTGTGCAATTATATTCTTTTGTAAAGTAACTGTATGTTTTTTATTTTTCAGAATGATGCATGTCGCAAGGCTGCGAAAGGGCTTGAAACAAAATACCCTGAAAGTGACTTTCCCATCCTAATCCAAGCAGCTTTATTGTTTCGTGAGAAACAACATCAAGATGCTGTAAACACACTGGAAGTGAGTGACACTGCAGACAAGAACGAAAATCGGGTTAAATCTGAAAAATAGTTTTCATTTCTTTGTGACTCTGTCTCTGAGATGTCTCTGAGAATGATTCGGCAAGGGAATAAAATCTGAATAAAATAACCTGTTATGTATTCTTTACCCAAAAGCATGCTGTACAGTACAAATGCAAGTACTGCAATATTTTGTAATTTTTCATTTCATTCAAAACAACCTTTTTCTTAGAAACATGTGGAAGTCCATGCCCAATGTTCGATGCAAGTCTCTCTTGCTATCGTTCAGCTTCATCTCATTCTTGGAAATTCACTTGAGGCTTGCCAGCGCCTGCGTTCTATCGAGAATATCAAACATCGTCCAGCGGTTGTTGCGTTGTTGGTCAACCTCTATACGCATGCTGGTGATATAGATGCTGCTGTACAAGTGCTCGATGACGCAGTGTCTTACGCAAAAGACAATGAGGTAGTGAAAATTTCCGTATTATGGTGATGACTTTGCCTGAGGGAGATTCTTGCTTTCTTACGGGTGCGTACCCATTGCAGGCGCTGAAAATATAACTTTTTTTAACTGTTCATTTGCATTCGGTAGGGAACAGTCGAGCAAGACGAGCTGGTGAGACTACTACGAGAGAATGTCGCTTACAAATTAAAGAGAGGAAAAACTAAGGAAGCTGTCGCAGTCTTGGAATACTTGCACGAGTATGTCTCGCATTATACGAGCTCAACATTTATCAAAAACACAGTCGCTTGCTCACAAACGGGATTTTTGTAGATGGAAATATTCATAAACACTTACACCTAACCAGGAACAGATGCGCACAACGCTACATTAGGCCCTTGGCAGGGTCGAACATGTGGCTCTGCTATTCAGCGCCCTAACCAACTGAGCAAACAGGCCAGTTGCCAATGAAAACTCTCATCAACAATTATCAAAATTTGAAGCACTCCAAACGGTTAATGAGAGTTGGCAGTGAAACATGAGTGAGAGTTGCAACTCTCATCAAATCTCATGCACGTTTGACCGAGGCTTACGTATAAAGGTATCCAACTGTATACAGATTGTGATGTTTATTAATGATGGCGCTTTCGTTACAGTTTAGATCCGGATGACTTAAAGACTATTGCGCATTTAGTTGCTGCATATTCACAGATTGATCCCAAGAAGTCAGAGCAGTATCCTTAATGTGTTGGAGATAATTATTATTATTATATGTAGATAAGTTTAGGACTTTTGGTTTAGTTTAGTTATGCTGGAAAATATGCCGACATTTACAAAACAATTTGCTTAGCTATATAAAATAGATACAGCAGGAAGTTGCCACCGTTAGAAGGGGATCAGGTGGACGTCAATGCTCTAGAAATATCCTTGGGCACACGTTATGCTCGGAAGACGGCGAAACTGGTTTCTGACGGGCTGAAAGAGAAACCGAAGCAAGAAGAAAAGTAAGTTCAAAATGTGTAAAAATGACACTACTTTGGAGTTGAGAGTTCTTATCTTCTCCAATCCCTGTAACCTCTTCCCTTAGAAAATCCACCTACATATGGTTCTCTGCCGCCCACCCACGGAAACGTTCCTGCCATCCCTAAACCGTTCGTTATCTATAGTCCATCATCTTAGTTTGTACTTCATCTTTACAGACAAGATGTTGTTGTGAAAAGACGACGGAAAAAGAAACCAGGTAACAATGATGGTAAACACATTAACAGGTTGATGCCGCAGTTCAGTACTTACTGTACATGTATTTTTACGTACAAATATATTACCTACAAAAAATTGTATTTACAAATATTCAAGTTTCATGAAACTAATGATAAATATAATGATAACAAAAGTTCCTCCTAAAGCTAAAAATACCTCTCCTTGCACCTCTAATATATTTGATTTGTGTAGCGGTACGTTTTGAGAGTTATTAGTGAGTAACTCTAACTTCTAAACAATTCTTAGGCACAGAATACTACACAGAAGTCCATCTACATTGTTTTTAGCGTAAGCTCTATTCGTCATGATTCGTCACTCAGCAAGTACCGTAAACAGAAGCCGTCCCCCTCCTGGAAATACTAAAAATGGCGCATGTCCAGGGGGGTGACTGCTTCTGTTTACGGTACTTGCCATAGAGATTATAAATAACACTAGAGGAGGCATTGTAATCTTAATTCAGTAAAAAAAAGGGAACGCAGCTATTGGGGGGCAAATTCAAGTCCCGGATGTGTATTCGTGTTCCCATTGGTGACGAGTTTCAAATCAGCCAATGAGAGCACGATTTTATATCCGGGACTTGAATTTGCCCCCCATTAGCTGCGTTCCCAATTTTTAAACTCGATGCCTCCTCTAGTGTTATTTATAATCTCTATGGTACTTGCTGAGTGACGAATCATGACGAATAGAGCTTACGCTAAAAACAATGGAGGTGGACTTCTGTGTAGTATTCTGTGTCTTAGGTTTCCATTCAGTTTAGATAGCTTCGCTGCCTCCCCATGATTTTTGAATGACGTCATGAATCCCATGACGTCAGAATTCTTAATTAGTAATATTGGTATTTGTTGTACTCAGGAAAACTACCGAAGAACTACAATCGCGAGGTTGACCCTGATCCTGAACGCTGGCTGCCTCGACGAGAAAGATCGTATTACAAAGGCAAAAGGCAAAAAAAGGCAGCTGCAATAGGTATGAATTTAACCGTAGGGCTATAAATGCTGCAATGTAAATGGAAACAATATACACGCCTGCTATAGGGATGAGGCGAAATAAAAACATAGGAAAGATGAAAATATCCGGCACAGATCCAGTGGCGAAGCTAACCATGCCAACACGTCATGTAAATGTTTAATGATTTTCATTATTCAAATCTTTAGAAGTGTATTGTCTTGAATCCATTTCGATGCAGGTTTATTAACACAGCATGACCAGTTGCCATGACTAGCTTGGCCACTGTACAAATAATTTGCCTTTCAACGCACCTAGGAATAATTTATTCAAAAAGGCGCTGATATTTTGGACGCAACATTTAACTGGACGTAATTTGAACGTAGCATTTAACGTTGTGTCGGAAGGATACTCCTGACAACCGTAACTCAACTACTGGCATTATTTTGTTTTCAGGCAAGGGCACACAAGGAGCTACTGCCTCGCAGGAATCGTAAGTATATATTAATCTGTACTTCCATTGTATAATTTATGCTTGATACATAACTTAATTCGCTGTCAAAGGTATACCTCTAGTTACATAGTGCATCATTACGCATGGCATTATTCATCAGCAGTGATGGTGTCATTGTAGTGAGGCATATGCACGCATTCCCTAACCCATTTAAACGTTGCAAACTCTGCAGTAAGAATGAGGTCCGCTTATATATGAGCATTGCTTTCATATATGTATTTCTAGCGTGCATTTCTCTGATTTCTAGGCCATCATCCCGTGCAGCATCCAGTCCGAAAGCGACCTCACCTCCTGGAACCCCAGGTGGAACTTCCGGTTCATCAACGGCCGGGGTTGTGCCCCCTCGACAACAACAACCCCAAGCAAGCAAGAAGAAACAACGACCGAAGAAAAAAAAAGGTGGTTGGTAACTACCTTCGTAGAGGTAACAATATCGTAGAGGTAACAATATCGTAGAGGTAACACATGATATTTTGAGGTGAACTCTCCTAAATGAAAAAGTAATGTGAAATATGAGTAATATCAATTATGAGAAAGTAATATCAAAGTAAGCATGTGACCTATATATAGGTGACCTGTTTACCAAAATAAATAAATAAAAGGAGAAAAGAATGATGTTTATATGATCGTCTAGGCGTGGGCGTAGGCCATACGTTAAGCCACATATTACATGGAATTTAAGGCTAAAAAGTTTTAAAAAATTGGCAACCTAACCCCCCCATTATTTCGTGTCCGCCACTGATGCATGTTTTAACTAAGTGCCAGTGTGTAAGATACAGTAACGTTAGGTTTTCTAACGTTCTAAATATATCATCATGAAAGGATCCCCTGACAAGTTTTCTAAATAAGAAATAATAACATTACCTATTAATTAATCGCAAAATATATTTCTCATGGTTTACTTTTATTGTCTGTCATCGCATTAAAATTGTAATAGAGGGGCACAGCGGCCATAGATTAAGTAAGGAGTATATACTTCATCTGTGACAGTGGCACAATCGTCACTGCAAGCGACTTTCACCTCAGAGATCGTGGGTTCGATTCTCACTGCGGTCTTAAGACATTCAAGTGAGTGAGTCAACGCATTACTGAAAGTCGTGGGTTTCTCCGGGTACTCCGGTCTCTTCCCACAGGGAATGTTGAGAGGATGGGTTGGAGTTAGCCTCTAACTGACCCTTCCACCGTAGCTGCATGTGCTCTGTGATCAGACATGCGTGGTAACAAGGTGGTTGCAGAGGCGCCCTTGGAAAGCCTTCGATCCGATTATGTTGAGCTGCGTCCTTTGCTATTCAGCTCTCAGCAGCAAGTAAGGGTGATTAGCACACCCCCACTTACTTAATTAGCAGGTACTAACTAAGATTTTTACTGTTGATGTTTGTATTCTGAAGCTTTACCTGCAGCACTTGCTATATATGGAAACTGCAACCACGTTTTATCAAGCAGCCAATATATCGTTACCCTAAAGTCTTTCGGTAAATAATAAAAGCGCACAGAATTCTAGAACAACTGTAATCCCTTATTAATTAAGTCGCAAATTATTTTCACCTTCTTAAACTCTTATCTTGATCAAGAGTTGGTGGTCGTCATTGCAGTAAAAGGAACAAGCTGATTAACAACACTTGATAATGGCTTTGATGCCTTCACTAAAAGAATCTAAAATTAGTCCTCGTAAAATTCATAGGAGTTCTGTTGGTTAAGATATCGGGATTACCTTAACTATCTTAATGGAGGTCTGTACTGGAAAAACCTTAAGATTAACAGTAGACCGCTAACCACAAACTTCAAATCGCATTTCACGGTAAAGTGTACAGGTTTTCGACAGCTAAGTTGCTAACACGTGCTTCAAACATTGGAGAAATGTTTTCCCTAGACCGGCTAGGTCTCAGAAGTGGTGCGCGGCTGTACTCAATTGCCCTAGCTCTAAAATTAGTTGCCGTAAATTATGAATAATGTAGAAATTACTTATTATGTTCAATGTAGAAATTACTCATCAGTTCTGTTTGTGAAGATATGTTGATTACCAAAACTATCTTGAAAAAGGTCTGTACTTAAAAATATTTTCCCTGCATCTCCTTGTTCTAAAATTAGTTGTCATAAATTAATATGTTATGTAGCAATTACTCATCAGTTCTGTTGGTGAAGATATCATGATAATCTTAACTATCTTGAGGGAGATCCGTACTGGAAAATATTTCCCCTACTTCTCAGAAGTGGTGCTCGACCGTACTCGTGCATGTCCTTGTTCTAAAAGTTAGTTGTCATATAGTATGTTATGTAGAAATTACTCATCAGTTCTGTTGGCGAAGATATCATGATTTAATATCTTAATTATCTTGAAGGGGGCCCGTACTGGAAAATATATAGTTTTCCTATACTTCTCAGAAGTGGTGCTCGTCATGCACGTCCTTGTTCTAACATTAAGACAGTTGTCGTAAATTTTATGTCTCAATGATTACTCAGTTCTGTTGGTGAAGATATCATGTAAGGGAAGTCTGTGTTGGCAAAACCTAGGTCTCAGACAGAGGTGGAGTTTCAGCTAAAAATGGAAATTACGCAACCTACACAAAACAGAGTTATCTGCTAGATGTCTTAACTGCCAAGTGTCCTGTACTCTGTGAAGATATCATGTAAGGGAAGTCTGTGTTGGCAAAACCTAGGTCTCAGACAGAGGTGGAGTTTCAGCTAAAAATGGAAATTATGCAACCTACACAAAACAGAGTTATCTGCTATAGATATCTTAACTGCCAAGTGTCCTGTACTCTGTACAGTTGTCGTGTCTTATATTTTAAGCCTCCGTCTAATCAGGATGAGAGTTGACATTTACAGGGATATTTCAAGCTCTAAATTAACAAAATAAAGGTTTCATGAGTGTTCCAACTATGTTTTAACATAAATAAAATACATGATAGTGTTGGGAAAGCATTAAGAACAGCTAACCAAGCTCGCGTGACAACGCTCATCCACTCGCATTCTCGTTTCATCCAAGTTCAAAATATGAGAGATGATAACAGAAGCGAACATATGCACCGCTCATGACGTTTATTGAATATTTACACCGCTTTTACGTGCGACTAATTTTACCTCGGATTTTACTAAATTTAGAACAAAGACGTCATGGGTACAAGATAATTTGGTCATCATGATATCTTCACCAACAGAACTGATAAGTAATTTCTACACAACATAATTTACGACAACTAATTTTAGAACAAAGGACATGCATGAGTATATACGGGTTCGCACCTCTCCTGAGAGGGAAAATTCCGGTACAGACCTCATTCAACGTATAGTTAAAGTAATCATGATATCTTATTTCACCAACAGAACTGATTATAGTAATTTTTACGAAACATAATTTACGACAACTAATTTTAGAACAAGCAAGTGTCGCACAATATCTAATATTTTTTTCCGTAATAATTTAGTCCTTGTTCTTTAGTCGTAAATGATAATGAGTCATCAGTAGTGTTGGCACGTGATCTCATTATGATTGCCAGTGATCTCGTTCCCTTGTTCTAAAATTAATCCCAGGAATTAAATCATAATACCTTTTAAAAATTACTCATCAGTACACTGGGTTGTCATTCGTGATTACCTTGTCATGATATGATATAAACTATATGATATAAGAATCAGAGGTCGGGCCCCACCCTTAAAACCGCCAGCTTAGCTGTCTGGTTGTATCAAAGTTGTTAAACTGTGCCAAAGTTAGTGAGAAAGTCAATCAGAATCATTTTAGATTCAACTGGGATTTATTTTCCATGTACAAAGCGTGCCTTGCTCTTTACGAAGTCATTCGTGTGTTCTGTACTATCATTATTTTCTACTGTGCAGTCAATGCATTTAGTGTATAAATAGCAGCCTAAGCTGCTAGCTGAGATATATGATTGCCACCTGTCATCTCTGTTTTATCTGCAATTAATCACGGACATGATAGTTTATGAGAATCCACCAGGGTGGTGGCCTAGTGACTGGGATATCTTAACTACCAAGTGTCATCTACTCGGTACTGTTAGCATATTTTGAACTTGAATGAAACGAGGATGAGAGCGCATGAAAGTTGGCGCGGCCTTGCTGAGCTGTTTTTAATGCTTTCCCAACACTATCATGTATTCTATTTATGGCCAAACATAGTTGGAACATTCATCAAGCCTTGTTTTAGTTAACCTAGACCTTCAAATGCCCTCTGTAACATTTCGTGACCACTGATGTTCGTGACTGGGGCTTTACCCTATGAGAATGATCAAGATAGTGGCGCAGAATAGAGACGTTACAGAAGACCAACTCAGCCAAAGAAAGCATAACCGCTGCCACGCCATGTTTCGCAATGACTCCGCCATGTTCCTAGCCAGTGCGGCATCTCCCCCTAAACGTCCTCCATTTTGAAGATTTTTCAGATGCACAGTCGAGACTCTGAATTGGCTTATTAGAGAATATCTCGGTTATATCCCCATGTAGGCGAGTTGTGTGCTTGATTTACGCAGTACAACTCAAGAGTCAAATTATAAACCGGTTGCATGCGACAGTTTTAGGCAAAAGTTGTGTTGTGTAAATTGGCCTTTTGATTTCCTACTGTACTTTTAATTTCCTACTGTAGTTTTAATTTCCTACTGTAGTTTTAATTTCCTACTGTACTTTTAATTTCCTACTGTAGTTTTAATTTCGTACGGAACTCCATCCATGTTCCACTATACCAACTGACATGCATGCTTAGATCCTTGTTTAAACTTTCTAAGAGTGAAAAAGTACAACAGTACAAATTTGATGCGATAATTCAATTTGTCGGAAATTGTCGCCTACTTTAGCATTAAAGTGTGTAAAATATCGCCGTGCAATACTCATTAGCATTCTTTCACTAAAACATTAACGTCCCTGTTATCTGCGGTCATGTTTTCGGGTTGTGTGCTTAGCAACAAAGCTATAAAATAAAACAACGCTGTACCTGTGAAGAAGAAGGCCAAGTCTTGGTGAGAGACCTCGTTTATTAACTGTAGGAATTCGACCGTATTCGGAAATGGCTATTTTCTAACGAGTGATATTGATCACCCATGTCCCAGAAAGCCTATCACAAAATATGATCATTTTATATTGGTATTACAGCAATTTACATATTTATGGGTTTATAATCAGCCCACCCTGGTTTCCAATCACACGGATTTCGATACGAGCGCCGTAGACGCATTTTCGGACGTATTCACAAATTATACGAGGAAAACGGTTCTTATTGTAACACCTGAGAATAGCTCAATCTATTTAAGGCATAATAAACCCCAACTGGAATTTAAATTACACACCCGCCTACTAATGGCTTTTATGACTGAGAATTTTGGACTGCTTTTTACGACTCAACGCTGTCCATGATAAAAGGCGGGTTGGGTGTCATTTTGGCCAACATAGGGAGCACTATGTTTGGACAATGTGTTTGTCGACTTTTCGGGCGCTGTCCAATTGAAAACACCCGCTATTTGTATCAACAATTTATTTAAGCCGTTTTCAATTGAACATAAGTGTGAATCTTATCTCGTGTAATTCTCTTTGTGCTGCGAGAATTCGAGATAAATATCTCTATAAGGCTGCAAATCCATTCGCAATTATTACATCTGGAAATTTCATTAACGGTGTCAAGTTTGTCAAAAAACTGCCGTTCCGCTTCGAAGCACCCTGGAATTTGTGGAATTCGGCCTTTTCGCTTGAAAACCGATAGCGGCTGAGCCTTGACTTCAAACTGTCATTGCCTGCCACTTGAGAAAGCGTCTTTTATCGCTCGTGAGCAGTTAAAAGCAGGCTAACCCGACAAAGGAGCTAGAGAGTTTCGCACGTCATCTTCGAACAAGGAGCAATGGATAGACGCACGTCAACTCTTGCAATTCTCGTTATTGTGTTGGGTAAGTTCCTATGTTTTAAGTAAAATTTCATTCTTCGATATTGTTTATTTTGCCGCTGTTTTGTGTGTATGTAATGCGCTCTGTAGATGCTATTAAAATATTTCGTGCGCAGAAGGATTTTCACTTGGGGACTGTAAAACTGATTAGCATACGGTGCGCCATGATATGTCTGTAACGTCGGTTGCACTTATATTAACAAAGATCCACAGATAGGCTGGTATGATTTTTTGGTGAATACTCATTGCGTTTGTAACCTGACTAATGTCGACAAAAATAGTATATTCAATTAATTTATTTTGTTGTTTTTTTCCAACTGGTCTCGTTGGTGTGCTTGCTTGGTGTTTACTTAAACTTTCTCGTCGACAACAACAATTCGAAAATTGCAATGTGATTCACTTTTGGTACGACTTGAGTTAAGTGTTTTGGTACTCAGTTTGGAAAACAATTAAACATTTGTTTGCCACCATATGATATAAATAGCATGCTCACTTATTTGTTACCAGCCTCGACTTCGTGCTATTGTTTTTTTACAAGAGACTGGAGGTCTATATGAACTCGCAAATTTTTTTCTCCACTTCACAACATGCGACTATAATATTTTATATTGTCCGTGGAGTTACCTCTCTAGTTAACAAACATCGTTGTTTTCTGTGGTCAGGCCTGTAGACGTCCTTATGATTTGCGGCCGTACTTTTTATATATATTTGCCTTTGGCAAAATTTAGGATTAAAGTCTGGACCCCCCTATCCGAGCTTTTAAGATCTTTATAATAAAGAAATGGTGACTGATTGTTCATTTATTGAAGACGTAATGTCTAGGAACTCGGCAAACTTCAAAGTACTAAATAGAAAAACTTTGTTTATTATAAAGCTCTGTTTAAATCCTGGCTTAATTTGAGTTTGATTAATTTACAGTCAAAATAACTATGCACAGATTAGCAGTTTGGTCCTCAAGCAAATAGCTTTCCTCCTTAGCTGCAAATGATCAATGATGTCTAAGAAAAATTAAGAAGAAAATCCTGTATTACTTAACACTTAGCAATGATAGGTCTTTGATTGCAGTGAAATGGGGATAGGTCTATTTGTGCTTGAACATTTCTGTCGAGGGACTGCCCCCAGACTTTAAGAAGAAATTGGTTTGATGTTAGTAGATATAAACGCTCCCATGCATATTATTCTTTGACTATATGAACTATAATATATTTAGTCTCAGACACCCACTACCAAAATCAATACATGCATGCAGATCAATTAGCCCTCTCAACTCATAGAATCCCGGTATAGATTTATATGCACACCCTCACGTTTTCAATAATAATTCGCCCCGTCTAGCCTGCTGAAGTACGTCTGTAATCCAACACACTTTTAGCTTCCTCTACTTTATCTTGTAAATTACTAATGGCTTTGGGAAATTGGAAGGATAACTTTCCGGATGGCTTAACAAAAATTCACAGAATATAAGGGATGCGACTACGAGGAAAATATCAGCAGAACTTCGAGCCTTTCGTCGGCCTTCACTAGAATAGAATCAAAGGTTACAGTGAATGAAGCAAACGTCTTGACCTTCAAATCGTGACATTGACAGGCTGTTATCTACAACGCATTAAATGTAAATCTTTCAATTTTTTTATTTCACAAAGATCGTTCTAGTTGGCATATTGCCACACGTTAGATTGTGTTGGTCTTGCGCTCGTGTAAATTCCACTTTAAAAGGATTTTTTCACAGGAAACCATAAAATTTTAAGCGAGAAAAAAACCCATATTAGTCCTGGAATTCAATTTTTATCCAACTTTGACGCATGGCTGGGCTCTTGAAGGCAATAAGATTTAACACCTGCTCGAAATAATGATTATCCCTGATTACAATACAAAACTGGTATGTCCACCTGGTAAAACTTGTTAGTATCTTATGAGGGTTCAAACTATAGGCTGCACCAAACATTCTATATAAAAATATCAGTGATGTTTTTGGAGCTGTTGAATAAACTCGTGCGGTGGAACTCTAAATACGTGACCTTAATTCTCGTAAGGGCCACCATGTTCAAACTGATGTGTTAGTTCATCCAACTATGTTGAATGTGATGTTGGAGCAACATATTGGACTGGTTTAAACATGTCTTTTTGATTTAAGCGTTATTTCTCTATTTATCCGCCTTTCGCCAAATTTAGGATTAAACTAGTCTGGACCCCCACTACACGAGCTTTTAAGATGTTTATACAAAGGAATAGTAAATCTTTGTTCATTTTTTGAAGACCTAATCACTAATGTAAACGAAATTTATCACAAAGGTGGCCTATACTTTCTACACGGTTTTTTTTTTACCCTGGCATCAAGTGATCAAGACGTATTATTAATGAGGTTGAGAAGTTTTTAATAAACTCGTTCTATCACTTCTATATGTTTACTAAACGTACACATAATTAAAGTTGAAGTTAAAAGTTCATATTATTGTATATTTAAGACGTGAGGTAGCTATGTTCTAGGCAGGAACCGAAGCTTTAATTGAACCAAATTTCGTCAAGGCAATGCTAAATTTGTTCCCGTGGCTAATTTCCATTGCAATGGCCACCTAAAACTGACAGACAACTAACTATTGATGGGGACAGAGTTGCGTCCGGTATGGAAACATGAATTGTCTGAATTGTCTCCATTGAAAACACTTGTATCGGTGGAAAATCAGCGGGAAACCAGCATTTAGTATTGAACGACAGGGATATATTAGTCTAGAACACTTGGGCGTTCCGGCCTCTCAAGTGTATACTAATACGCTCAAAGTTTATAAAATCAATAAACTTCGCAATTCACTTGTTTCTGTTTATATGTTGGCGTATTGCTGAAACGATGGTATAGAATTGGTATAATGCTGAAGTGGCAATTATACAGCCGTAGTTGGTGAAACTGATAGGCCCTGATAATTAAATGAATCGGAGCTCGTTCCGGGTTCTGCATGAGTTATGCTATAAATGTATACCAGTAGAAATTTATGAAAAGTTCACCACGTTGATGCAATTTAGTAGTTTCCTGTTTATATTTATACTTAATGAGTAAAACGTTTGTATACAATCGCTGAATGGTGAAATCTTAACCTGAGGTTGTTTATACAGATTTAGTGATATGAGTAAAGCATATGTCCCTAGGTCATTTTTGCAATTTTGGGAAGTTGATGTACCGAGTCCATGATATGACTGTGTACATGCATGCATACTTAATGAGTAAAGCGTTGGTAAAGCGTTGGTAAAGCGTTGGTAAAGCGTTGGTAAAGCGTTGGCAAAGCGTTGGTAAACGCTGCCAGGCTGATGACGAACTATCTATATCACAGAGAAACTTGCGTATGTAGTTTGTCTTGGTTGGTAATCTCTATATATCAGGAAACAGGAAACTATCAGTCATGATTTGTTTTCAGAAACAATTTGCCGGTATATTAGTCCTTCTTATATAGTTCTTCTTTTGTTTATATTGGGGATGATCCGTCAGCCGGATAATGAATATCTGTCTCTCGGGCAAATTATTCCATCTAAGCGGTTCTTTTTCTTGTTTTGCATGGCGATAAGACAATCGAATACCACTTGAGAACGAATTTTTCGTTGTTGTCTGCAGTCTCAGAATGAATATGAAACTAATTTGTCCTCCAAGACAAACGTTAAGTCGTCGCGACAAATATGCCAATCCCCATTGAAACCCGAAGAATTGCGAAGATGCGAATCCTGCTCGATGGCAGACGATGCAATGTCAATGAAGTTTTTGTTCTTCTCTGCAGTCTCAGAATAAGATGAAACTTTGCATGATTTATGGAAACAGTTGCACGTATATTTATTATTGCAAAGCTTTCGATCCGTAAGCCTAGGGCAGATCTTCATTAGCATGCACTAATGGGTACGGATCGAAAACTTTCCAAAAATAAATATACGTGGTATTTCCGAAAACCAATATTTCGTTCTATAGCATATTAAGAACTGCTTACTAAAACTAACACAGATCGTTTATATCGAAAATTCATTTCCTTTCCATAATCCAGTGGTAAACACATTCCACAGCCTTCCTATCATTACTTCATTTACAGATTTTATCTGCATGGTTAAAAGGTCGCCTCGTCGAACATTCGCCGACCTTTCAACGACACCAGTGTCGACAAATTTATATATTTGCACGCCACGGCACACACATTGACACATGTGTTGTTATGAGGAGAAAATTTTAATTCTCCACTTATTTTTAGTTTTAATTTGGCGAAACATAATTTGCCGCACTTATATTAAGAAAACAAATATCATAATTAGTATTATTGAAATGGATCAGTAATTCAAACACTATGAACCTGTATTGATGTTAAGTATGTACTTGTGATAAAAACTTAATTAAAATAGCTCCATCAGTGCTACAGAGTCCGAAGTACGATAGAAAATGTGTTTGGTTACGTGAATGTTTGAGTAAAACTAAGTAGAGCTTTCTCCGGCTGTAGTATCAATGCTCGAATATAAAGAATTGCCTTATTGGACCTTAAGGGAAAGACCTTAGACAGAATTGAGTAAAACTATGCAGTATAAATACCGTTAGTTAGTTTAGCAATTAAGGATTGAAGTGAGCCACCTTCAATTCTTCACAAGTGGTAATAAATTGCTGCGAAAAGACTTTTTCCTCATGGTCTACATCACTACATGCAATTTCAGTGTTTGCCCGATGAAACGAGGCCAACATGTTGCTTCAACATTGTCGCATGTAGTAAGATCGTTGACCTCGTTTGGACACTATCACGTGTTGAGAAATGGCCACTGTTGGATCGAGTTGCATAAACTTTGTTTAATTTAAAAACAGTTCCACATGTTGGACTCGTTTGAACGTGGCTTAGTATAATCAATCAATATTACTCCAACCCACGATTGTACAAGTTGCAAAAATGTTTTTACGCTCTAACAGTTAAACTATACCATATGCGAATTGTCAACTGTTGTAAATTACGGTGTTTACTTTAACAAATATATTTAGCTCAAATCATGCTATTTGTATTTGTATTTGTATAGTAATTAGATTGAGAGAATAGAAGTGCCCATATATAATACCTTAAAGATGCATGCTATTAATCTATTACATGCATTGTAACACTATGACACTTAATTATTACGATACTTGTAATTCTCATCGATAATTCATGAGGAAAACACAACCATGCTATGTATTTGGCCAAACACGACCAGCTTGTATATTTGATGCAAAATCCTGCTGGCTTATATAAACTTTAAGTTCATTTTTTCCACCACGTATAATTAAGATTATTGAAGAATGCGGACATTTTCATCAAGACGAATCACTTTCCCGCATACTACATCACTCATTTTACGTATAAACTCGATACCTTGTTCTACATCACTGGACAATGCAGTATTTCTTGTACATGGCAAAACAAAATCAGTTTAAATTTTCATAGTCAAGCTGTTCTTGCTTGGCAAAACACTTGCATTCTCAGTTTGCATTCTCAGTGGAAGGCGGGCCTAAAGTCAGTAAGACTGTGATTTCAAACTTTATAACACATGTAGCGTTGTGTGTATGACATGATACTCAAGCAAAGCAAAACAATTGATATGTCATGTGTAAAAAGGATTAAAGCATGCTGGGTAAATTCAACGTTTTGATAGAGGGTGCATAACCAGGGGTAAAAGGTCATGCATTGATTTCGAAGGAATACTTTGCAGAATTCGGAAACTACAGTGGAATTTCCGAAATCCTGCTGTTGTTATTTTATTTTAATTCATGTAAAGTATCCGTTTGATAAGGGACCTGTCACAAAAATATTTCCTGACTGGATATTAAACTTTAGTTTTGGAAATAAATTTAACATTCTTTACAAACTTGAGGAAAACGTTTTGCACCCATTCAAATGTTGATAATACATTCCGTGCCTTTCCTGTGGCGTTTTGCATAACTCATGGTCTGCATGCACACTCGATGACTTCGTAAGGTGTCTTTATGACTCCAGCAGGCTAGATCTCAAAAGCTTAAAAGTTAGTAAAACAATCCGCGTTTTAATCCTTTTTCCGCGTTCATGATGCCATACGTCTGCAATTCCGGACCCGCGTTTTATATGAAACCGTAACTAAATTCAATATACAATGCAAATAGTGCGAAAAAGTTAATCCGCTTGAAAAAAAAACACTTCAAACATCTGTTCTCATTTTGAGTTACCACGCAAACGGCACTTCCACAACAATATACAATACACTTTATACACACATCATTATTGCGTGCAAATAGTGCGAAAAAGTTAATCAGCTTGAAAAAAAACGTTTAACGCGTGAGGTATCTTCAGACATCTGTTCTCATTTCGAGTTTATCACGCAAACACCGCTTCTACCACTTCTACGTTGCTGTGATTTAGAGCGGAAAAGACGTGCGCGACCCACGCAAACTGCAAGAAAATTGTTTAGCTTAGGATGTTTACTCGAGTTTCAGCTTGGTTGCTGGGCTATGGCTCTTGCGGTGCAAACACGCATGATCGTACGGAGTGGTCAAGACGTGAGGAGCCAGGAGTACCGACGACATTCTATGGATGTACTTTTGCGCAAAGTTATGCTCGAACAGTACGTAAGTAAGTAAGTAAGTAAGTAAGTAAAAACTTTATTTGTCTACGCTAACCCCTACAGCAAGAGCTGATTTCCAAGAGGGGCGTAGGTTTAAAAATACAAACGTTACACTCAATTAGGATAAATATATATACAAGACTAACACATTACAATACAATTATACAATTATAATTACTCTACTATGGTCAAATAAATAAAATTTCATAAACTCATTATCTAACTGGCCAGGTGCCGCACACTTAAGTTAAATTGACTAAGAGAACATTTATTTCTTAGTCTATCTGGGAGGCCATTCCACAATTTTGCTCCTCTATAACTAAGACCTTTTTTAAGATATTCGGTCTTAGGTTTGGGCAGGTAGAGATTTGTGGCATAACCTCGTAAGTTATAATGTTGAGACGAAGGCGTCTTTTGAAACATATCAATTAGTTGTTTGGGCGCTAGATCGTGGGTTATTTTGTACATGAGACTTGCTACAAATTGAGTTCTGCGTTCTTTCAATGTTTTCCAGTTTAGTTCATTTAAAGCAAGTTCAGATTGGCCGTGTTCGTTTTTACGACCCGTAATTACTCTAGCAGCCCTATTTTGTAATTTTTTGAGGCGATCAGAGAGTGTGATACCAATAGTATCCCAAACTTCGCAGCAGTAGTCGAAGTGGGGCAATATAAGTGCGTTATAAGCACATATTAATGTATTATGGTCCACACAGGGTTTGAGTCTTCTGATCGCTCCAATTCCGGATGAAACCTTCTTAGCAATTTTGTCAGTACGGAGTAATAGTAACTCCGAAGATAGTAAATATTTATCAGCAATGCCAACCCCTGATACCTTCCAAGCTTTCCTATGATTTACACGCATTTAGCACGTGGTGATAAACGTGTGTTATATTTTTGTGTCTACTTGGCAGTATCCGCCATAGTCAGTGACAAGATGTGGCAAAGGATTCGTGGATTCGCATTTGTCACATTGCCACGCAGCAACATTTGGGCTGAAGGCGAAGCTGCCTCATATTGCTCAGCCTGTAATTAAGGAATGAGTATACAGTCGCAGACAAGCTGGCAGCCGATCTGTTTTGGTTAATTACCAAGTTAATTACAAAGTCTGCATGATTACTGGGTCTTCATCAGGAAGTTATGAGAACTATCATTAACCTCCTTACAAAGGAGGCTTTGCTCTGTCAACCTCGGAATGTTTTCACTTAAAATGTCGTTAGAGTTCCACCATCCACTGATACACCCCTGCTTTAAAACTTTGGAAACTCATGCGCACCCAAGATTTCGCGGAAAATTTTTATCATAAACATCAAAACTGCGCGCTTGAGAATTGAGATCTTGGTTGCGCGATACAAGCTTTCAACCTCGCTAATTTTCGCAGTGGCATACACTATCACAAACTCACGGAGACTTGAGCTTGCTAGAAGTGAGTTAATTTTAGTATTGACATCTCTGTTCCTTTTGCTTGTCTGAGATTATGAATTTCCGCCAAACATTTCACACAAACACTTGAAGTTGAATTATCTTGTTATTAATCAGGCAAATTTAATGCGCCCTCGTAAATGAGGGTGTCGCAAGATCATAAAAAAAGTAGCAATCTATGCAAAGGCGGGTGGCTGAAGAAGAGGTTGTAAATCCCCCTTTCAGACAGATCAGACGTGAATGGTTTTCACAAATATTCAGTTTTAAGTTGTATTCTCAAGCATGTTTAAAATCTTCAATATTTCGTTGTTTTTTAGCTATCACGAGATTTTCCCACCATATTTCGACAGCTCATCATTCTTACGAAATTATTAAGAGCGCGCCCCATTACGCACACGCAGCGGACAGTGTCAAATGATCGCAAATTATGAAAGTATATGATACTTGTTGAAAGAAACTCGTTCACACGGCATGCACGCCGACACAAATGAGAAAAACTGCTTCGTGCTCGGCGAGGTATGTGTCTTCACCTCTTTCATTCGGTCACAGAGCGAGTGAAGGACATGTTCTGTTAGTCTGTTACCACTACCAGCACGTTTCAGAATTTGCTTTATCTTTTCAGTATAAAAACTATAAAAGTTCATATTATTGCAGGTATATTTCAACACATCACCAGATTAGAAATTAGTTCTGTCTCATCAGTATACCACTTATTTTCGAGAGCTAACAAAAATATATAAATATAGATAAATCTGCTCTAAAATAGATTATAAAATAATACATACTATAGTACTAAAATAAGACAGGACTGAAGAAGCCTAGTCTAACTGATGGTCAAAACATATTTATAAATAGAACATTTGACTGTGGCGGAACGTTTTAAGGGCATCTACTCAACCTTGAGGACTTGTAATGAAAACTGTATATATCTTTATCTACATCTATCTATATATAAGTGTTTTTCAGTTGGCATATGAAGTGTTTTTCTGAGTTGGCATCTGTTTCTTTCTTCTATCAGAATGTCAGCAGTGTCTGTGAAGGTAACTCAGGCACCGCGCGCATGCTTTTCATGGCGATGGCGATGGCGTAGTCAGACAGGATCTGTGTCTTTTCTATCAAAATGTCAGAAATGTCTGAGTAACTCTTAGGGTCTAATTCTCTTGCTGTTGTGTTAACCTGCATATCGTGTGAAAACGCCAAATATAGTCATTGCAAAAACAGAGAAATTCAAACTGGAGTAATCTTCCACAGTCAAACTACACCTTACTACGTCCGAGACTACGTCAATAATCCAGTTTCCGACACTGTCCTGCAAACATAATTCTGTCTTGCTTTCTTTTTGAAATTATTCTATGCTGGTCTTATTATTTGCTACCATTTCCAAGACTATGCTTTCTATTAATTTATATCCTACTTCTGAGTATACACTGAGTATGTTAGCGGTGATATTGTATACTGGAATGTGAAAATCATTCATTTTATAGTATAACCTTTCGGAAAGTGCATCACTTTTCCTATAGAGCCTCGTTTTCGTGCACGTGACATTAATTAAAGCCTAACATCTCAATCACTATTCAATCATGAAAACGAGGCTCTATAGCCAAGGTGACGTGTTTTCCGGAAGCGTATATTATCTCTGAGTGAAAACATTTCGTCTTATTTCAGCAGCAACATTCATATTGGAAACAGACGCGATAAAAGCAAGCAACCAAACTGACGAATGCTACAAGCCTTGCCGAGTGAAGACTTCGCCAGTCTGTGGAAACGATGGTCGCAACTACACAACTGGATGTCATCTGAGTGTCGCCCGCTGTAGAGCAAGGAAGATTGGTCAGCGCCTTTACCCTGTAAATACAGGCTATTGTCAATCCAGTAAACCTGTCAGTCAGTGTCACTTGAACTGCACACAGCGCAGAGTACCGCTCTGCGCAAGCGACGATAAAACGTATAAAAACCCGTGTCTTTTCAAGAGAGCGAAATGTGAGGCCAGAAAGAGAAAAGACCCTCCTTTAACAGTGCTCAGCAGAAGTAAGTTCTACAGAAAGGCGCGTGATATTTAACAACAGCAACAGCAACAACATGAATAACAACAGCAACAACAACAGCAGCAACAACAACAACAACAACAGCAACAGCAACAACAACAACAACAACAGCAACAACAACGACAACAACAACAACAACAACAACAACAACAACAACAACAACAACAACCCGGAAAAAGTTGACTGACAGCACTTTTCCCATATGCGATTTCGACGAAATTTTAGTCAGACAACTGCATACCGCTGAGAACGAACCCCGGGCGCAGGATACAAAGGCCCGTTACGATTCCAATTTTTCTGCGATTTTTATCTTCTGATGCATGTGAACGAGTGAATGAGTTATGAATGTTCTGAGTATGTGTACTCTTATCTGAATATGCATAACTCATCCACTCGTTTCCATCCATCAGAAGAAGAAAATCGCAGCAAAATGCAGGAGCGTTTAAGGCTGGTTTATACTATCAAAATTTCTGTGATCACAGTAGGAATTTTGCATGGCAAAGTTTTGAATGATTTGTAAGAAATGTTTGCAGGAACTCAAAATTCCTACTGTGATCACAGAAATGATAGTGTAAACCAGGTTTGACCAACACCCACGTCCAGATGAAACCAATTAGTTCAAATCTTTCAAACCAAAATTGTTATTCCTTTCTCAGGAGGCCCGTGTGTGAAGAAAGCGTCGTTATGTCGACCATACTCATCTTGTCCAAAGATTAAACGACCAGTTTGTGGGTCAGATAACAAGACCTACCAAAATATTTGTCACTTAAAAGGGAAAAACTGCCGACTCAAACGTGAGGCAAAAGGAAAGAAATACAAAAAGTTGACCCTTAAATATTGCGGCGCTTGCGGACGAGGCAAGCGATGCGCTGCAGCATGGACACAAAAATGTCCTGACGTGAAATTTTGCGACCAACTACTGAGAGCCGCCGTGCGTTATGCAGAAGCCAAGAAAGCTGCGGACCCCAATCCCGTGAAGAAAAATTCCAAAGGAAATAACCAAAGGGTCCCACGTTTGCCGAAAAAGAAAACGAAAAAAACGAGCACGAAGAAAACGAACACGAAGAAAACAAACACGAAAAAAACAAGCACGAGGAAAAACCCCACAAAAAAGACAAATAAGAAAACAAATTCGAAAAAAACAAGCTTGAAGAAACTCCTCCTCAAAAAGCCAAGCCCCAAAACCAACAAGAAACAAAACCCCAAAACCAGTCCTAAAACGAGCAAGAAGCCCGTGAAAATTATCCCTAAAAAGATGTTTCAGATGTGCGGGTCAGACGGCGAAACCTACCAAAGTCTTTGCCATCTGCAGGTTGAGCAGTGCAATAAGGTGAACAGGTGTCAGCGGTTGCAAATGAAGCACAAGGGAGCATGTAAGAAACGGCCAGGCCGGAGAACCTAGCGCAAGGAAAATACGTTCATTATTAAAATGTGTAAGGAATGCAAGTTACAGATAGGACTGTGCAAAAAAAAAGAATTAGTTGTGGAGGTGCTTGTATGATAAAGATAAATTTGAATGTATTATTTTAATATTTTAACTTTCAACTTCATATAAGTAATCTGCGCCGAATACTTTGTAGCAATTAAATTACAGCAATATAATTTTACAAAACAATGTTCTCGCGGTTGTAATTCGACCAGAAACATAGAAATACACTAAAACATCTATTGAGAAACACCTAGATTAATCATATATGCGATGAAACATTATGAGATTACAAAGAAGACGAAAATAACCTGCACGAAGAATAATTTTTCTCTCTTGTGAGAGCGTTTCTCTCTGCAGGAAACAGTGTGACCAGACATTTTGCAAGGTAATTACTAAATAAGCATGCAAAAAATTACCAAAACGTAGAAAAAATTACTAAATTTCTGCCGTCAACCAAAGTGGTCTGAAAATCAATGAAACATCTCAGCAAAACAAAATCAGTAAAACGCTTTCCATCACTGAAACTATGTTTTTTCCATGTTTTTCTTTTTCACTTGTACTTTTTGATTGCAATTGTACAAAATGCAAATATGGCGCCGCGATGATCGGGCCCGTGGTCCCGGGTCCCTAGCTCACAATCAGCACAGGGTGAGTGGTGATCAGCACGATTCCGTCGATTCATCTGGACAGCTTGGGCCAGCAGCATGCAATTTGGATGTACAGCTTTGCAGACATGGAGTTGCAAAAGCAGACATGGAGTTGCAACTGTTCTCATTGAATTTTTGAATAACAAATAAAAAAAATACCAAAAATTTTCAATTACCAAAAAAGTCAGAAAAATCGCGAAATATTACCAAAAGTAATTAAAATTACCAAATCTGGTCACACTGGCAGGAAGTCTTGTCGTACAAATTTGTAATTGTGTGTATCATCTTATATATGGTATGGTATATGGCGTATGACTTTTCAATGCAGCAAATTAACAGAATAGCTTCTCTATTTGTCGTCTAAAGAATGACGCAACTTACCGCTATTTTGAAAACGTTGTTGTTAGTAGTACCATTGGACTTACTATCACTTATATATTTTGCTGTAAACGTTTTTCAGCGTCAGACGATGCAGAAATCTTGTGGATAGGGTGTAGTTGTAAAATAGAAAATCCATTCATTTCCTGATTAATTAAACTATTACCGAATATGCATGTAGTAAAATGTGTTATATTTTCGTCCCAGGCCCGTGACTAAGTCAAACGAGTCAGTTGACTCGGTAAGAATTTGCGTTAAAATTTTTAGGATAAGACTTCACGTTCAGATCCCTTCTTGCCGTATAGTGTCGTAAGAAGTGGGAGGTTGCTGTGCCGTGCATAAGTACCCACGGGCCGCGGAACCGGGGGGGGGGGCAATGGGGGCATGTGTCCCTCACTTTTTTAAAAAGTGAAAAAATGCCCTTTTTTCTGGGCTAGGAAGGCCTAGGAAGAAAGTGCCCTTTTTGCAGTAGTAAAGACTCTGCAAAGGCCATTTCCGACGTTATAGAGACTCCATATTTTCAAAAATTTTCGTTCGGCTCGTGAACGACATAAAATCGTTTGATCATAATGATATACAAAACTGCCCCTTTTGACCAATGCCCCTCCACTAACAGAAGTGTGGGTTAGCGTCCCAAATATGACCACAAACATTTTTCTGTTATGCACCTGGACATGTTGGACCAAGAATATTTGTAATTCTTAGGATTGGAGTTCAATTGTGAGAATTTACAACTATAGTCCTCGTGTCACTGATGGAATTGATTTTTTGTTCAAACTGCTCTCAGAATACAAGAAATAGAATTTCTTAGCCTTAGAAAATCAAAGGTTTTCTGGAGGAGAAGTTTTCGGCAAACGTGGTCTTGGGGACGACGATGATTTCCACTTGTGTTATATTGTAGTTCCTGCCTCGTCCCCAGGCGCTATAAAACGATTTCATATACGAGTCACTATATAAAAGGTTTACATGAAGTAGCGCGTCATAGGCGCGCAAAGGGGGATGGGATATGAACCCCATAAACCCCTGCGCTTGTTCGACGCGATGCACTACTTCATGTAAGCCTTTTATATAGTGACTCGTATGTGAAATCTATTTATAGCGCCTGGGGACGAAGCAGTTGTAGTTCCAGGTTATTTGCTCGTCATTCAACTACAATACACGCTTCTCGGAAAGTACGTCACTTTGGCTTTAACCATGTCACACACACGAAAACGAAGTTCTATAGCGAAAGTGACGTACTTTCCGGAAGGGTGTATTATATGAGGTTATGCAATAATCAAGGTTAACAACTAAGGGACAGCGCGCGTGAAGCATGGGGACAGGTTTCATACAAAGGCGTGGAACATGTGGGCAGCTCATTGTGACTTGCCAGGTGGATATACTTGAGGTCGCCAATTTACTTCAAATACAAGTTGGAAAATTCCACCAACCCACCCTTGAAACAGGCATTCGAAATCACTAAATTTCCACCGAGTAACTTGGTGTGATAGGTGCAAACGGGTGCTCAGGTCAATACTGGAAATTGCTATACGCACCTGAATCCACGTAGTTGCAAATGTTTGATAAACTGGTAAACTGCAGACTTATAATTCCCACCCTTTGCATCTAACCATCCACATGGGTAAGTTATGTTACTGTATGTGTTAATTGCACTTTCTTCCAGAAAAGCTTCTTTTGTTTCTTTCGTGGCATTTCTCTGTGCAGGCAGGCTCGCGTGGTGGCGTGCGGGCAGGAGGGGGGTTCTGATACAAATAAACTACTGCTGCGTATTCTGTTTCTCCTAACTGGTCTGCGTAGCTGGCGGTTTGAAAGGGTTCAAGTTGAGGCGCAAGCAGCAAAAAATTAGGACGTCTTTTCCGGCGTAATTTTTCGGAATTTTTATTTAATTTGGACGCCTTCATTAATTAATACCCGTTCTCAAAACGTGGGCGTGGCAAGTCGAAGTGTATGGGTGTAAAGCTAAGGCAATAACCTGCCCTAGCTAGTCTCTGCCGCAATAAGTAGCATGAAAGAAAAGTATTTGATGAGCTATCAAAACACCCGAAGTTTTATGTGACATATGTTTCTGATAAATTTACGCTATAAATAACGGGAAAGGTGGTGCAAAAATTATTTGCAGTATAACGTTACTTATTAATATTTCACAAACTGTTTTATAGAATTATTTTAGAAAATAAAATCTTTGTAGCTCGGCTAAGAGTAATTAGTATTACAAATTCACAATAGTTTGAAAGCACTGCACAGGGAATTCAGCAGAGAACTGTATTTGTTTTATCGTAAACGTTTCGTAATCTCACTCTTTTTTACTTTTTACGGTCTCCAGTTACATGTTACAGTCTGGACTTATCTAACGGACCAACGTTAACTGAACCTGGCTGTACTTTTGTAAAACTGTAGTAATAGGGCTGTATTTCGCATATAAAATTTGGCACAATATTTAGAAACATGTCTTCAATGGCTTAGTAAACCATAGTTAATAGAGTAAACTAACTGCTTAAAAGGAAATGGATCTGGCATATTTTGGCTGGAATGTTGATATTTGATATGTAAATATCATTCCACGACAATTGGGCTCACCACGCAATCTGGAAAGCGATTGATTTGCATATTTTGCGCTTGGAAATTCCTTATATAGTCAAACACGTGACCGGAAGTATGCAAATCCGTCACACTTCCGTGCGGAGAGGGAAATTTGAGCTGCAAAGAGAACTGCTATATTTAAATCATTTCTTCTTTGTATTTTTGTACCAACGCCTCACTTTATTGTCCACGGAACGTCGCACGAACACCTTGTTGTCTGCTTGCTTTGTCTTTTCTCTCCCATTAAAAGGTAAGTGTAATACTCTTTGTTAAATATCTATTTGTCATTATTTTGTTGTTTTTACTCTTTTGTATCAACACGCAATTTTCTAGTATTTGATAGTGGCAAGTGATTGTCTCTTTCTCTCATGTTAACATAATTCATTCACAAACCACGCAGTGACTTTGTGATTGGAAATGACTTATCAAGATAATTTTCAAAGAAGGGTGCTAACTTTTTGTATAGAATTGAATATATTGTCGCATTGTCATTCAGCTATTATAAAATATTCATAATATGCAAAGTAGTGTCACGCTTGAATAAGCGCAAATTTGTGATATAATTTAAAGAAATTTTCAAGGCAAGATAGCAAAGCTGCGAACTTTTTCTTCAAAGAGTGTTTTAATTTCACGATTCCGTGACCCCATTGCTTATTTACTTCAGTACAAATTCATCCGCACGCAAAACCCGACATGTTATAATGAGAATTGGGCCAGACACATCTGTTGCTTAGATAAAGGGCAAACCTTTCGTAATATAAACATATTTCCCTATCTAGACAAACAAAAACCTAGCAAGAACAGACAGAGATAAGTAGGTTTCAAACACGAATTGACAGACTTGTCGAATCCGTCCGAAATGTTGCTACGGCAATGGAAATTGTGGAACGGCGAACGTTGGAATGGCCTCGCGCGCATATTTGAAAATCAATATAAAATCAATATTCCAAATCACTTGGTGATTGCTTTAGTTTGTCGCACTGTTTTTTAAGTGTTTTATCTTTTTATTTGTTTATCTGGGCTGGCAGAACAATTGAGGTGTGCGCGCAAGCCATGGGCCCTTATTTCACGTGGATTTTTCTCTCGTGACTACAATACGCACTACACTTAAAATAAAGACTCAACAATAGTTACATGTATATAGCATATTTAAGATTGATACATTCACCAAATCTGAACATTTAAATGCTTAAAAGTTTCCTGGGACTCTGTATCAAAAATACGTTGTAAATAGTTTTACGATATCAAATTTCGTAAATAATGAATTCTCTATAGATATGTCTGTTCGATAATTCAGATTTATCTTTCAAGGAATTTCGCCGTTTATCATCTATTTTGCCGTGTTTTTAGCACAAAATTGATGCGCAACTATCAAAATAATTGCACTTTGATTTTAAATGATAGTACAGAATTCAATGTAGTTTTTCTCGCTGGCTTGTTTGACATCAAACATCAGGTGCCAACAGATACACAAAAATATTTGATTAAATTGCATAGCA